CCCCTATTTTAATGCGGAGCTTTTTGGGCGAGACTTAGGAAAATTTGTCCGGCTGCTGTAACAATATTGCGTCCAAGCGTGGTGCCCCTGGATGAAAAAAGATTACACGGAACTGGAAAATTTTCAAAGAAATGCGTCCGAATTAGGAGGTGTACTATATGAAGGTCGGCTAGATAGGCTCAATCTTTTTCCTCTTAATAAGAGGCAATACAAAGAATTTATAAGCATGGTGTTTAAACTCGTTGGTGGGCAGACTTTGCTCTTCAGATGGCTGATTTCTTTGAATTCGCACAAACGACTCATATCCGAGGTCATCCATAAAAACTGAAGAAACACCATGCCAAACTAGGAGTTCGGGCAACGTCTTCTCCGACATTGCTTAGTATTGTTTAAAATCCTTGAGATTTTGATGTAACAGATAGGGAGTTCAAAGGCGCAAGCCTATTTTTTCCTCAAATATACGGACTGACTGTGCAGGTCATTGAAGATTGGAATAAACTGTCTTCAAATGTTGTTCTAGCCTGTCACATCAGACCTTTGTATGCTAAGGATAATTATGTGATGTGCTTTTAACTGTTATGGTCGTACGGAGGCATGCTTATGCTAAATTGAACGTTTGGAATTTATCGGGCTACTGGATAAAATCAATCATGACATTGACTTTAGAACATTTGCATCCCTTGAAATTTGACAACGCGCCAACTCGGGTTGTGTGTGTACTTAAGAAAAGGCCATTTTGATTTCGCGAATCCTTTGTCAATTGCTGGCATGTAACCTTGCGAGATCAAAGTGTGAAGTTTTCTCTTGTTTGCTGTTATGTTTTCTGTCGCTGTGCATGCTGGTGCTGGGTTCCATTCAAAAGCAAACGAAAAATCCTACAAAGAATTGTGCACCAACGCCTGCCGCGCAGCGGCAAATATACTGTGCTGTCCGATCACTGAAACATCTGCTATCGACGCTGCCACTGCCGCGGTGCGCGTTCTTGAAGACCACATTCTTACCAATGCAGGCTTTGGGAGCTGTTTATCTGTTGACGGTACTGTTGAATGTGACGCCGGGATTATGTGTGGCAAAGCATTGAAGTTTTGCTCAGTTGGGAGCGTGCGTTCCATAAAAAACCCAATCGACGTTGCAAGGTCAATGCTCATTGAACACTTGGGCTCAACTGCCTCTGAAACTGGGCGGATCAAACCACTGATCCTGTGTGGTGAAGGTGCAACTAACTGGGCTCGGGATTTTGCCGGAATACCTCTTGTGCCTATGAATTCTTTAATTTCGAGACCTGCACACGAAAAGTGGAAAAAATACCGCAAACTGGTCAACCATTTTGAGGAGCAACTATGCCCCAACGAACTCCAGCTTGAACACGAACGTCCGCTGCGAAAAAGACCTCGTCTCACTGACAGGATGGATACTGTTGGGGCAGTTTGTATTGATTCGTCGGGCAATGTTTGTGCCGCTATTTCAAGTGGGGGCATACCACTTAAAATTTGTGGTCGTATTGGACAGGCCTGTGTTTACGGTTGCGGTTCTTGGGCAGAAGTTACCCCAGCACTGAGCATTGGCGTAGTAACTAGTGGTACCGGTGAACAGCTTATAAAAACACAGCTAGCACAAAAACT